CCCTTCCTGGCTCACATCTGGTGATCCACTCTGCCAAGAACAGGTGACTGGCATTGGGACTATTTAGGTCAGCTCTACATACCAGCCAGTGTCACTGAATGGATCAGGTCAACCAGCTCTGTTCCTACCATCTCTAGAATAAGCACTGCTACAGCCTGGAAAGAACTGGCATATTCAGGGTTTCTGAGCTTGCCCATCCTAGCCAGGCTGCTACAGGGAGGGAAACATTTACCACCTTAGAGCTACAATCACACACATGCTGTTAGCGGGGAAATTATGCCTACCGTTAAGTGCAATGTAGATTTTGCCTTCATATTTCAACTAAATATATTCAGATGTTCTTTATTTATTACCCATCCTTTAACCAGCTGCTCACAGTTACAATGATTTAAAATTCAAAATTTAAAGCAGTTAAATCTGATCACAAATCACAAGAATAGGCTGGGCTCTGCAAACAGATATCTCAGACACCTTTGCCAGGGGCAGAGATGTGTGTCTTCAGCACCCACCAAAAGCTTTATAGTGAAGAAGGCAAGTGTACCTCTGTGGGGAGGGAGCTTGATAAATTATATGCCACAGCAAATTCCCTCCTCCCAAACTTCTGAGGCAGCTGGAACTACCAAGAGGGCCTTCTCTGCTGATCTTAATAGTCAGGAGGGTCTGCAGGGAAGGACATATTATCGACATACCTTCTTCAATGACGCGCCCCTTATCATCCAGCATTCCCTGGATTTCGCATCCTCTCACATATACCAGGCCTGTCTGCTCAACGAATGGCTGCCTTCTGTCAAACTTCGTACCATAAGGCTGTGTGGGTCGGACAGTAACTAAAAAGCAAACATCGTGCTTGCGCAGACCTAAAAGGGGGGGGGGGGGACGTCAGTGCGATCTGATCATTTGCAGGTGTAGTGGTTATTTTATGCTGTGGCTTCATAAAGTTGGTCCCCCACATGGCTCATATCCAGAGCTTGTAACAATTAGAAGCTGTGTAATCAGTGTAGTGGGTCCAAGCCTGGGGAACTCCCTACCAATTGAGATTAGAGAGCCACCCTCCTTGCTGAATTCAGAGATATGATCAATACTGTCTTGTTTCAGCAGGCCATTTAAGGTAGTGTTTGGTTTTAGGACACATTTTTACTGTTTTACTGTGCCATTTTCTGTGTATTGCTTTTATGTACACAGGTTAGAAATGCAAATAATTAGGTGGTATATAAATGTCTTGAATAAATGAACAATTTAGGTCAGCGAAAAGCAAAAGGGAGATTGTACAGAAATAGTTTTCGAAGGACATGCATATAGTTAAGCCAGTAGCAGCTTTATCTCTGTTCCCTGTGCTATCATTAATATGTGATTATCTTATTCATATACATTTGTAGACCTTTTCCAAGACAAAGATCTCCACTAGGAATGTAGGAACGTAGGAAGAGAAGCTTATCTGAGGCTTGAAGCCAGGATCCCAATCCAAACAAATGTTTTAAAAATATAAAAATGCACAATACTTTAGTGTATTTTAGTGCAGGCTCTGCATTTTGAATCGGGACATGCAACCAAAAGGATTACACAATCCCATCATATTTTAAACACGTCTGTTGCTGAATTTCTGAACTAGCCGTCAGTGTCCCCCCAGAGCATGAATAGTTGTTCCTATGCATCTTGCCAAAAAGGTCAATCCAAGTATAATCCCCCAAGCAGCAAAGCATTGCCTTGAGATAATACACTAGGGAACACAGAGAAGACTGTAGTGGCATGCGAGTCCTGACAACACACAGAAACCCCATCAGAGAAATGGTCATTTCAATTAAGTCAGAATCTTTCTCACCTTTCATATCTACTACCCAAGTAGACTTAGCAGGATCAGACTATTTATTTACTGATGCCCATTGTTTTACAGAACCGCAGCTCTAAGTAATATTCCCATTTTAAATGACTGGCATTTTGTAGATATAGGAAAACGCGGTGGATGGTGACACAGAATGAATATTGCATATTGTTACAACAGTTCCAGATCAGTCTCACAAAGGGGGTCATAGGTTTCTGAGTCAGAATATAAGGCTCACACCCAAAAATTTCTCAAGGGGAATTAGCTATCCCCATATCAACCTTTAATCACTCCTGTCATAGAACAGCTAGACCAATAAAAGAATGCTTTCTTCCCCCTTTCAAAAATATGGAACTAGGAAGAACTGATGATCCCACACTGTGTGTTACTGAGAGCACTAGCGTTCTTTCTTTAAGCAGCAGGATTTAATAGGGGAAAGATGCGTTTTAAGCACAACAAGCATACAAACACTTAGCATTCACCCCAAATAACCGGGGATGCGACGTCACACTGCTGTAGCTACACACATATACATACCTTCCCATTCATCTTTGATGTTGTCTCTAACATTCAAGTTAATTGTGACATCCGCTCGGACTCTCATGGGCCAGTTTTCTCCAATGTTGGGCTTTGCCACCTCTATGACCGTGAAAGAGACAATGGGCTGTGCCATTCGAGCCCACCCACCAAAGACAACGCCTCCATATTCAGACTGCCTGAAGAGCAAGATCAAAACAAGAGACTTTTGCATTCAGATCTCTAACACACACCAAAGCTAATGACGTCATTGCAAATATATACAAAATTATACCATTGGAAGGGACCAAGGGACCGCCAATCCTACAGCTGGGAATTGCAATTTATCCAGGAAATTCAGCCCAAGGGAAATTGTTTGCCATTAGCAAGTTAGCAAATAATCTGTCCAGAGCCTGTTTGAGATTATAACTCACCCTAGGGAATGCTCTATTAAACCCAACACCTTTCTAATGGCCCCAGAAAAACCAGGGTAGGGAAGGAGTAGAGAAATCACACACAGAGGAAAGTTTTTCTTGATCCAACAGCTTCAAGGTTATAGTTGCATTCATTACCATGGTTTCATCCTACTGACACTATCCTCAATGTCCTGCCTGATTTCATAAGTAGACTCTAGGCGGAAGAGGTTGAAATTTCTCAGGAGGTAGTCATGGAGAGTAAGAAACTGTAGATTCAATTTCGGGAGGGCAAGGCAGCCTAAGGAAAGAAAAAGGGGAGAGGAGGAATGGTTTGTTTATTTATCACGTCAGACTTGTTCAGCCATTAGTTTTATGCAATTACAATCACATGGAGCAGGGCCACACTTCATTAAAGGGCACTTGTGTAGAGGGGAGCCTACTCTACACAAGCTTTCCTTTTCAGACCGCCAGCCCCAATCAAAAATTACATAGCTAGCAGGAGCTGGTTGGTTAAGCCCCATGCTGTTCTTCTGCATCCGTATGGGAACTTGGGGAAGCCATCTCTCTATACAATATTTGCACTAGTCCATCACTGTGCAGCCCCCACTGGAGAGTTTTTTAGCACCACATCACAATCCTGGATTTGTATAAAGACAGAGTGCAGCCTCCATGGGAGGTTTTAGAAAGCATCATCACAACTACTCCAATCACGTCAACTGCACCGATCCATGATTAGGCAGAGCGGCAGACCAGAAACATTTAAAATTTAAGCATTTTCCAGAAAACATACCTTCACCAGAATAGTACTCGGTTGGGACTATATTTTCATCCCAAATAATCTTCTCGGTGGGATACAGAGGCATTTGATTGAGCTGTTGAATTTGAGAAATTCGACATTCATGCCGGGACACCTAGAAAAGACAAAAACATCTTGTCATGTGCCCTAAACAAAATTACAAATATTTATAGAAGGATACTCAAGAAGACTGAAAAGACTATTTCCCGCCAACTGGTTTAAGAGGTAAATTGCAAAGAGAAAGTTAACCTTTTTATTTTACGCTGAACATGCAAGTTTCGTTCATGTGACATGATAAGCCAAACAAGAACAAATGTGGACAATCCTAAATGAGCATTGGGCTTGCGCAATCCTGTCCCGTCCCCTCCTCTGATGCAACCAAGAAGACACTCTTCATCAGAATTTAGTCTCACTTTTAAAGGATCCTCGCTGAGCTTTACAGTCAAACCAATGATCATGGTTTAAAACATACTCTATAACTTCAAATCATGGATTATGAAGCTGCTGGCTTGCTAAACTAACAAGTTAGTTTTAAACTAGGAACCCCAGTGGTTCAAGGGGAACAAGGGGAGAGCATATCAGCCCGTCACTTAGCTTGGGTTTGCTCAGCTTCATCCATACAGCACCAAATCATGTTTTAGTATTATGTGGCCACATTGCCAATATCTAGCTCTGAATATATTTTTATAAGTTTGTTGAAGCCGCTCCTATTTGTTGTATTCTTTAGTTTTCCATTTTCGCCAGGACACACAACAAAATGAAAAATTGTGCCCGATCACCACACTCATAAAAAAACACCCTGTTGCCGGGTGAGGAACCTTTGGCCCTCCAGATATTGCTGAACTACAACTCCCATCATTCCTGGACATTGGCCATGCTTGTGGGGCTCATACAAGATGTAGTTCAGCACCATCTGGAGGGACAAAGTTCCCCCTCTCTGCTGTAGGTTCATGAATTGTTTTACCTTGATGCAGGCATTCCCTCTTCTCTCTTAATTTTGGATCCAACAATGGTTAGCATTATATGTGCATTAGGTTGTTTGCTAACCATGGTTATTGAAAATGTTAGGATACATACAACCCAGTTTAGGGAGATTTGAAACTGAAAGGAGGGTGATGTTTATGGGATAGGAGACTGTGTGAGCAGCACGGAAGTCTACAATGCATTCTAAGTTGTCTAACTATGGTTAGGCACTTGGGCAATGTGACATTTGCACCAGGCTACACACACATTCTACAACCTAAGTCCCAAAACTTGTGGAATATTAAAAAACCCCAGATACATTGCTATTCGCGACTGCCAGCACCCAGTTATGTAAGTCTAAAAAGTTGTGATGTATTTGGGACATTCACAGAATTAACAAAAGCCTATCTAGGCTGCATATTACATATTTGGAGGAGGGGAAGAGGAAGGGAGTCCTGAATAACAATTTTAAAATGTATTTCTTCCCCAGCAGTCCACTGGTCGGCTGAAAGACTACACAGCTTTGAATACAGCTTTGAACAGAGCCTCAGAGCACATGGCACACGTCCAGCGACGCATTAGCAACATTGCAGAGAGCTTGAACCACCACCCAACACAAGTAAATCTTCATGGCATCACACAATAGTTAGCAGCGTGACCTCGTTGTGACACAAAATGCAAAGTTCAAACCAGACATGTTAGGATGTTGCCTCCATCTGTTTGTGAGTCTCTTGAGAGACACATGAATAAATAAATGTAACTGCAAATTAGAGTTCAGTAGCGCTAGCTGAGTGGGCAACTAAAACAGAATGTAAAGACTTGAAAATACACAAGCACTGCTGGAATAATGTTGACAAATTAAGAACTGTGATCAGCACAACTTCACTGAACAATTTTTCCCAAGCAGGTGCATTTTTAGAAACTCACAAGACTGATATTTAAGATGCTTGGGTAAGATCATATAATAATTAATACCCTTCATACTAAAAAGGTCTTAATGACCATTCAGTTAGAAGGAAGAATTTATTAAATAGCTTAAATATCCATGCTATGCCACAAATATAAATCTTTAATGCAGTGTTTCTCAAACTTGGGTCTCCAGCTGTTTTTGGACTACAACTCCCACCATCCCCAGCTAGCAAGCAGGGCCAGTGGTCAGGGATGATGGGAACTGTAGTACAAAAACCAGCGAGAGACCCAAGTTTGAGAAACACTGCGTTAATGTGTCAACTAAAGCCCCATTTACTCCAACAGTGCCCAACTCTTGACCATGAGGTTATGACTCCTTTAATAATATCAGAAAAAATCCATGCTAAATGGGAGATTTTTGAGGGGTAAAGGAGGGGGGGCTGAATCGAAGGAAATGGGTCAGTTAAAATTTAAAAATGGTCCATAGGAATTAAGTTTCACCCCCCCAAAAAATCCCTGCTTTACATTTATGTTTTTCCCCCAATTACTACATTTTAATAGATGTGAACACAAAACAGCAAAGTTAGGCATAAATCTTAACCTAGGAGGCCTATGCATGCCTATACCCAGTGCTTTTTTTCTAAAAAATGTTTAGGGGTACTCTCATTTTCCTACTCATATTGAAATACTGCCCCTCAATGAGGCCAAACCTAGATTCACAAAATGTTTAGGGGTATGCATATACATACCCCTAAAAAAGCACTGCCTATACCCAACCCTAATTCAGCTAATTCTTTTTAGTCACATTTGACATCTACTGTGATAAAAAGAAGTTTTCCCCTTTCTCCTTTTCGATCCTAATATATAACTTATTGAAACTTTGAATACATGTACTTTGACAATTCTTTGTGCTACTGGCAGGATGTGAAAACACAGTGCATAGGGTTTGGAGCGCACCCCAGGGATTTGCAGCCCAACCCAGACTATGATTGAGTCTCTGGTGCAGAATTTGAGGTAACCCAAGGGCAGAAGGGGGGGAACCCCTGCCTGCCCTCTAATGCCTTGATAAAGAATCATGGTGTCCTATTCAACATCATAGATATCATTGTACAGAAGGAAAACAGCTTGACCCAGCAAAGACAGACATAAGGCTGCTTACCAGCAGTTCGAGCAGAAACTCTTTGTCATAGCTTGTATCTTCCCCTTCAGGTAGGGCTGGCAATAAGCAGAGATAGGATGCCACCTGGTGGAGTGTTTCTGGACTGAAGGATAAAGAATAAAGCAAAAGTCACATAGCGCTTGAGCTTAATAAATGGAGCTGTTTGCTTTGAATTTCTGTCAGTGTCCTCCCCCCAAAAAGTACAATAACTATTTGTGTGGCCTACTGACCAAGATTTTGATCTAGGCCATTCTGCATTTTAGCTAACACTCTTTGCTCTTACGCAAGGAACTTAACACTGAAAGGATTATTGACAGAGATTATTATTCATATTTTTTTAAATTAAAAAACAACCTACAATCAGACAAATTCAACAACTTCTTTTGACATATGAAACCCTCAAACAGTGGTGTTAAGGCTGTAAACCAGTTACAGACAGTACCATGGACTGAAAGAAGATCAAACCTATCCATTCTTAAGGAAATCAGCCCTGAGTGCTCACTGGAAGGACAGATTGTGAAGCTGAGGCTCCAATACTTTGGCCACCTCATGAGAAGAGAAGACTCCCTGGAAAAGTCCCTGATGTTGGGAAAGATGGAGGGCACAAGGAGAAGGGGACGACAGAGGATGAGATGGTTGGACAGTGTTCTCGAAGCTACCAGCATGAGTTTGACCAAACTGTGGGAGGCAGTGGAAGACAGAAGTGCCTGGCGTGCTCTGGTCCATGGGGTCACAAAGAGTCGGACACAACTAAACGACTAAACAACAACAAGAGACATTGCCTTTTAGAAGCTGCCTTTGCTCTCCCTCCCTTCGCCCCTCTTAAAACTCTGTTGGGGAGTTATTCTTTGGATAAAGTAAACAAGATATCACTCATGATTCTCTGAATCATAGTTTTAAATTTATCTACTGCTTGGTTACTACAGGTGGCCACTATTTCTATTTAGGCAAACATTTCAGGGTTTATTTAGGCAAAACATTTACTAGAATAACCAAGCTGTGGTGTGTTGTTGTTGTTAAAGGGGGCTTCCAATACTAATTGTTACTCAAACAATCAGCAACTCACTGTGAACTTGTGGGATTTCCTACTCCCCGCACCAAATCATTCACACCCAGAAACAGCAAATGATGAGAATAAAATAAATTAAAATGTAACTTACCTTAGAGGCCCAAAAAGTTTTATGAGGGAGTCACGTGTGTCTACGGCAGATACATTTGAGAGGGCAAAATTGTAGAGTTCTGGGAAATGTGCGAAAGCAGCTCTCTAGAATCCAACCAAGAACCAGGATGAGAAATCAAATGCTGTCTTTACTCGGTAACGTGACTTATGCAACACTCTGCAATTTAACAGGCCAAGTACAAACCCCTACAAACAGCGTAAGGCTAGTTCACAGCAAGGTCTACCAGATTTTTTTGGTAGGGGGGACATTGTTAGGGGATCTGAGTTCACACATGAGAACTGTGTCACACTTCCATATAATGGGCTGTAACCAACAAAGCTGTCCCATTAGCACAAGGACTTCCACCTGCACAACAAGACTTCTTCCCCTCCCCTCTCTCTGCTTTCTGTGTGTGGCCTCCAAATCTGCCTTAGAGGGCTGGGGGAATCCCCAGAACAGACTTGGGGAAGCGGCATGCAGGAAGTGGAGAGGATGTCCCAATATATAGGCATGAATGGGGCAACTTTGTTGGATGCAACTCAATGATGTCCATTTTTTTCTGAATACTGGTTAGGATAGGGTGGTTGATAAGAAAACAGTCGGAACAAAAAAGACACGGCAGCTATTTTAATTCTAACAGAAGCTGCAAAGATTACAAGGGAGAGGGGCCAAACATTTCAAACCCTACTGTATCTGTATGCATGGGCTGCCTGCTAAGTTAACATGAAGCTTAATGCAAACATCAGGAGAGGGACAGCACACCACACTGTGGGAGTTGGGGGATGCCAGCATAATTTAAATTCCACCCTGCCTGGACGGATTGGCTATCTGCATAGGGCTTTGGCAGCTGACTTTCAGTACTATCCACTTACTAAACCAAGGACATGCCCCCAAACATCAAAATTTCCTGAATGATCACTTATTTACCAACAGTACTTTCTTCATATTAAGAACAGACATATCCACCCATGAAAGTGGCACTATTTCCAGGCTTACAAATGAGGTGGTTTCCCCAAGTCTGTCGTCACCCTTTTTCTGACAAGCAATCTTACACCTATGGCAAAGCCTTCAGTTACACCAGAGGCCGTTAAATACCTGGAGGGAAGTAATTCTGTCATAGTGAATAGTAGTCATCTCATTCTCTGTCAATGCATTTCCAGTCTGGTCATTAATTTCAAAACCAGTGTAGAATTTGAGCATGTCTAAAAGCTGAAACAAAATGGTGACAAATTAGATATACAGAAAGGCAGGGTCTTCAACCACCACATGGGGCCCAGTACTATATAGTCGAGGGATATTTCATTTTATTTCCAAAATGTAAAACAAACAAGTTGTATCATTTCACTGCTTAGAGAAGGCAATTTCATTTTTCAGTCCATTACAAGCCAGCTGTAAGAGAACATAGTGAGGAGATGCTGGACCCTTGCTCCTCATGTTTTCTCTCACCCTTCCATTATTAGTCTCCCACTATCAAAGGGGAAGTAAAGGATGTATTATCACGTCCAGAATATACACACACCTCATGAGTGAGCCGACATCCAATATTAGTCATACATACAGTAAACATTTGTTTAAATGTATTCTGACATTACACTTCTGTGTGTGTGTTAGATGAGGCCCAGCAGGCCTGATTGTTATCTGTCCCCACCCCTGCGGGGCAACCCTGACCTGACAACATTAAAGCACCAGAAGATGGACAGGTGGGTTGCCCATTGCCCCTGCTAAAGTCCCTTGCACAGTGCTTCTCAAGTGTTCAAAAGGAGGCTGGTTGTCAGGCACTGAAAGTGTAGCATGAGGGGCTTTGCCAGCCCAACGCTCATAGAGCTGGCAAAGCTGCTTTGTGCAGGAATCAGCTGCACAATCAAATTCCCCAAGAGGAACTCAGTGATGCAGCTGATCCAGCCGCATCTGTACCTGCTCCTTATGATCTCAGGTGTGGGCAGGTGGCCATGGTTTGAGGAAGATGGCCTTGCAGGTAGTATCGAGAGCTGTGTCAATACTTGCCCCTAGTCTAGGTGCAGTTCCCTAAAGCTCATCCATACTTTTAAAATTGGCTTTGGCATGAAAAACCCAAATATAATCAGGCTTAACAAAATTGCTTCAGCCATAGTTGCTCTCCATCTAGTGTCTCCCCCCCCCCCAAAGTCAGCTATGTTTAGCCATTGTAGTCATTAAGCAACACAACAGGGGCCAACAGCAAGTAATGGTTGCCAACCATCACTTTCCAGCTGTGATGCTGTAATTTTTTTGGTAATAATGTAGTGTTGCCTTGGCTAGCTGAAATGCTGAAATGCTCTGCAAAATCAAAGCGAGTCGTACCTGGCAGAAAAGATGACCCTCCTTGCCCCTTTTGGCTAGGCTGGATAAGTAACAATGCACAACAAGGTGGGAATCATCAAGTATTGTGTTAAACCAGCGTCGTGTTGGAAGTAGGGCCTATAATAATAATAAAATAAACAATCACATATATGTCAACATTTGGGAGGCTGTTAGTAACTAGAAGAATGGTTAGAATTCAGTGCTTTCTTAAAAAAAAGTTGGT